CGGAGGGTCAGTACTGGGGGAGCGCTGCACTGTCGGAGGGTCAGTGCTGAGGTAGCGCCACACTGTCGGAGGGTCAGTACTGAGGTAGCGCCACACTGTCGGAGGGTCAGTACTGGGGGAGCGCTGCACTGTTGGACGGTCAGTGCTGAGGGAGTATATTAGCGACACAGGGTCACCCTCCAGATGTTATGTGAAAGATAAGCCCTATTGTTGCTGAAAAGACTAATTCATGGTGGTACCTCTCTTCATAATTTATCTTTGCTCCAACATTCACGGAAATATATCGTCTTGCTCATTGTCACGTTGATTTGTGTGGGATTTCACTGTGTTCTGATTAGCTGCCATGTTTCTGGTCCTGCTGTAGAAATGCACTTCAAATGATTTTCATTGGTTGTAGAGCTCTTTGGACAAGCCTTCAGTGTGTTCGGGATGTTTTAAAGATGCAGTTTTCTTTTAATCACGATGTTCCTACATAACGTTTTGATTCTTTCTGTTGCACTATACTCCAGTGGTGGTAATGATGACCATCAGAGCTCATTTGCTTCTATCTGACCTTGTGTTTGACCATTTCCTCCCTGAGCTTTGATTGTGGTGTTTGTGGTAAGTCAGTAACCTGTCAGTATAACCGATCCTCGGATAGTGTGACCATCAAATGGTCACTGATGGAGCCCACTCTGTGAGGTCAGCTTTTGGGCAGAGGCCAACGAGGGAGAGTTTCCCATTTATTCCTGGTCCCCAAGAATGATGTTGTTTTAGAACTTCCATGTTTACATTAGCTGAGGAAAGAACAACAACAGTTGGTTGGCACTTACTGATTACGGGGAGAGAGTGACCGCATTGACCGGGGGTGGGGAGAGAGTGACCGCACTGACCAGGGGAGAGTGTCCACAAACACTGAACCTCGCCAACATTCCTCATGAGGAGAGTTGAGTTTTGAGGAGAGTGCTGCTGCCTTGGGGTGCAGGAGCAGTCATTCTCCTGGATTCTTGGGCCCTGCAGCGGTGCTGCCAGCTCAGCTCAAACATGTGGTGCCTGTGCCCTCAGGTGGCAGCATTTGGTATGGCAGCTGTCCCAGATCAGACACGGTACCATTCGCTAATGGAACAGCAAACACTGAAAGAATGATTTACGTAACACAATCTCAGGACATTTCCTGAAATATTTTTCATCTGATGAAGTATGTTTGAAGTGTAGTCACTGTTGTAGTTTAGAAAATACAGCTGCCGAGTTGCACCCAGCATGCTCCCACACAAAGATGGTCTGTTTTTGCATTATCGATTGAAGAATGAGTACAGCTTGGCAACTGGGGTTAATCCCCCTAATATTCTTCAACTTAGAGTCATGGGATCTTTTACATCTCCCTGAGAGAGCAGTCATGGCCCCAGTTTAACATTTTCTGAAAATGATGTTACTTTGAACGGTAGAGCACTCCCTCAGCACTGGACAGGATTGTTAACCTTGGCCACTGAGCTCAAGAGTCTGAAGGGGGACATTAACCCACAATCTTCACCTTTCAGATCAGAGCAGAATCATTGAGCAACACTGACCTCCCAGTAGGTGGTGGTGCTCTCTGTACTTTCAGTTTGTCACCCAGCTGGCTCCAAAGACCTTGAGGTGGTACATCATGAACAATATTATAGCGATCAATGAGGAAACTTCCCAGAATGCAGCAGATGGTTAGTGCCAGGATATGAATCTTGAGGAGAAAATCAACCAGGTGTGGCATCACCCAATGTGAGGGGAGGGTCTTCTACAAATTGTTGCACTCACTGGAATGAAATAAAGTTTGCATTTGACCTAAACTAGTTAATCCTCCATCTCTTTCCCAACATAGATTCTCCACTATCAGTCTGAAGTCTTTCCTGCTCACAGTGGCCCCTTCAAGGATCGAGTCCTGTGGAACGGGGATGTTACAAAAGGAAACGCTTCCATCATCCTGAAGAATTTAACACAGAGTGACAACGGAACGTTCAGTTGTGTGGTACAGAACCCACCAGATCTAAGCAGTGAGATGCCAAGCACTGTCCTCACTGTCACTGAGAAAGAGCTCCCGTTCCGCCTCAGTGTGACTGTCATTCTGGTTCTGCTGGTAGTGATTCCATCTCTGCTGGTGGTCACAGTGCACCTGCTGTGGATGGGCAAGAGGTTCGGGTTCTATGGAGTCAGTTCCAAAAACAGATCGATAGAGCTCCTTGAGGGGTAGGTTCAGCCAGGATCTATAAAAATATTCTTGTCCTGTTTTCCCTAACACAAGTCACCACTCATATTGGATTGCTAAGTAACATGGGGTTAAATTTATGTGAAAATCTCAAACAGGTTTATTTAACCCGGCAACTGATAACTCGCAGTTCCTGAATACTGTGGTTGGTTCGCTCGCCGAGCTGGTTCATTGTTCCAGAGATGTTTCATTATCCTGCTGGGTAACATCATCAGTGCGGCCTCTGATGAAGTGCCATTGTGTTTTCCCGCCTGTTATTTAAACTCTGGGGTGCGTTGAGCTGGATTACCCCACTTCCGGTTTTCCCTTGCCATGATGTGTATATATAGGGTCTAATTCTACCTGTTTATTGATGGCCTTCTTGGTGGAGAACAAAGCCTCTAGAAATTCCCGTGCTTGTCTCTGTTTGGCTTGTCCTAGGATCCCGATGTTGTCCCAATTGAACCGATGGTTCTCCTTATCCATGTGATGGAGACGAGTGAATATTGGTCGTGTCTTTTTGTGGCTAGTTGGTGTTCATGTGTCCTTGTGGCCAGTTTCCTTCCTGTATGTCCAATGTAATGTTGGTCGCAGTCTTTGCATGGGATCTTGTATATTACGTTGGTTCTGTCCATAGTGGGTAATGGGTCTTTGGTTCGAGTTAGTAGTTGGCATAGGGTTGATGTAAGTTCGTGTGCCACTCTGATGCCCAATGGTCGTAGGAGTCTTGTGGTCAGTTTGGATATGTGCTTGATGTACAGTAATGTGACGAGTGTGTCGGGGCGTACTGTGTCTTCCTGTTGTTTGTGTGATAGGCATCATCAGACCCAGCTGTTCGGGTATCCATTGTCCTGAAATACTTTTTAGAGGTATTCTTCATTTTGGCGTAGTTCTGGGTTGCTGCAGTGTGTTGTCACTTGTTTAAATAGTGTTTTCATGCAACTTCGTTTGTGGGTGTTGAGGTGGTTACTATTGGAATTCAGGATTTGATCCATGTGTGTGGCCTTTCTGTGTACCTTTGTCAGAAATTCCCCATTGGCCCTACGTTCTACCATGACGTCCAGGAATGGGAGCTGTTCATTCTTTTCCTCTTCCCTGGTGAATTTTATGCCAGTGACAGCATTATTTATAAGTTGGTGTGTCTCCTCTAGTTTGGTCCGTTTAATAATGACGAAGGTGTTGGCCATAGTTTAGGTTGGATCTGTGGAAGGGCCATGCTTTCAAGTTTCTGCATCACTGCTTCTGCTATTAGTCCAGAGGTAGGTGACCCCATAGGTGTCCTGTTGATTTGTTCATAGATTTGGGTAAAGTGGATCATGAGGCACAGGTCCAGTAGTTTCAGCATGTTGTCTGTGGGGATGGTGTCACTCGGGCTTGTTCTTTTAGAAGTGTTGCTAGTGTTTCTCAATGTCAATCGATGTGAATAGGGCAGGAACATCAAAGGAAACTATGGTCTTGTCTTTTGTCTTTGAGGGATTTGAGGAACTCCTGGGCTGAGTGGATTGAGTGGATTGACGAACCAACCACACGAACCAGCTCAATGAGTGAATCAACCACAGCATCCACAACCCGAGCTACAAATCTATTCAAGAATCTTAGTTCCTGAACAACTTTTGTCCACATCCTCAGTCTCGCTGCTGCTTGACTCCTCGAGACCATAAGATTTAGAAACAGAATTAGGCCATTCAGCCCATCAGGACTGCTCCACCTTTCAATCCTGGCTGATATGTTTCTCAAGCCCACTCTCCTGCCTTCTTCCTGTAACCTCTGATCCCCTTACTATTCAAGGACCTATCTATTTCTGTCTTAAATACACTCAATGACTGGTGGTCATGTGGTGTCATCTTGGCCCATTAGCATACTCACTCTTAAAACTTCCCCTTCCTTGCCCACCATCAAACCAAGATTAAACCACAAGAATGAACAGTTACATAAGTTTAAGTAATAGCAAAAGTATATATAGTATTATAGAATTACTGAATTGAATGGCGAACAAAAAATGGCTTACCAATTAAAGACATAGTTAGGTTCTGTGTTTGTAAAGGAGGATCCAAATAACATCCCAGAAATGTTGGGAAACACAAGGTTTAGTGAGAGGGAAGAACTACAGCCAATAGTTAGTGGGACACCACAGGAACAGTGCTAGGACCCAGCTATTCGTAATATATTAATGATTTGGACGAGGGAACTAAATGTAATATCTCCAAATTTACATATGATACAAAGCTGATTTGGAAGGATGCTGTTGCTATAGAGGGAGTGCAGTGAAGGTTTACCAGTTTGATTCCTAGGATGGTGGGACTGACATATGATGAGAGGTTGAATTGGTTAGGATTATATTCATTGGCGTTCAGAAGAATAAGGAAGGATCTCTAGAACCCTATAAAATTTTAACAGTATTAGCAGAGTAAATGCAGGAAGGATGTTGTATGGGGGAGGAGAGCAGAACCAGGGGTCATTGTTTAAGGATAAGGGATAAATCTTTCAGGATTAAGATAAGGAGGAATTTCTTCACCCAGAGAGCAGTAAGCCCGTGGAATTCACCACAACAGAAGACAGTTGAGGCCAAAACAGTGTATGATTTCAAAAAGAACTTAGGGCTAACAGGATCAAAAGAAACATGGGAGAAATGGAAACAGGCCACTGAGTTGGATGAGCATCCTAATAAATTGTAGAGCAGGCTTGGGCCTACTTGCTCCTGTTTTCTCTGTTTCTGTGTACAGATAGTTTGGTTGTCCTTCTGGATCTTGAGATGGTGCAGCCTTCTGGAGATCTAGACTTAACATTTGGTTTTTCGCAACTTGTACTTGTCTTATGAATGTGCTGGTTGTCGTCAAGTAGTTTCCACACCTTCATTATCCGAATGTACCTTTGTGTTTGTTTTCTGTACACAGTTGGAGTATTGTATTGGCTTCTGTTTCTCTTCAGTGTTGCTCCATTTAGTGTTGTAACTTTGTAGAATCTAGACTCACTGCACACTTTACTCAGGCAGGTAACCAGGTTCCTTGGATAGGATACATGATTCTGACCTTCTGTCCTGTGAGTAAATTAGGAAGTTCCACAGCTGTAAGTTGGTCATGTTCGATCTTTATTCTCCTTTTGATTTTCGAGAATTTAGTCCTGTATTTCTGAGAACTTGGACTGTGATGGTTTGGCAAGATTAGCCTAATTTGCCATCCAAACATGATTTCTGCTGGTGATAATAAGCTTATATCCAGAGATTTAGCTCTTAGGTGTAATAAAACAATGAGAAGATTTTATTTGATTTACTTGTTTAATTTTAATTTATTTAATTTGTTTTATTGTTCTGCATTTCTCAATGAATGTTTTTAAATGTCTGATCCATTTGCTCAGTGAGACTGCTGGATCTGGGATAATGTGGTGAGCTACCATAGGTTTATGCCCCCTTTGACACACGTTCCTAAAATGTTTAGTTACAAATTGTGTCTCATTATCAAGTATGAGCTTCACAGTTATACAGAATATTGCAGTCATTGTGTCTGCCATGAACACACTTAATGTGTCCTTTAACTGTTTGACAATTGGAAATTTAGAAAAATAGTGACTAGGAGAAAGTTGTTAATGCATGGTGAATAAATCTGTTGCAATTTTGGCCTAAGGGACTGAGGGATCGTCACGAGGGTGCAGAGATTATTTGTGTTGCTGTGCGTAGTGACTGGGGAATGTCTTGCACATCCTCACTGTCTTCTCAATGTCATTGGTGATCTCTGGGCAACACACAGTATACTGTGCCAGGCTGATAAAACTGTGACAGTATTTCCTAGCGAAGAGCTTTGGGTACAAGCTTTTGTTATTCTTTTGAAAATTATCCTTCTTGAGCTACCTTGTTCATCTGTGACCAAGAGCATTAGAGAATGTGTAGCATCTCTTGTTTCATATCAGGTCAGCCTTTCTTTGCAGTGAATGAAACAGACCACATTTCTAACATGACTTGCTTGCTTTCTGTGTCTTGTACCAATACCGGTAAATACACCTTACCACTCGCGCATATTGTACAGCTACAATGGCCTCATATTTTGTGCTAATGTTTTAGCAGTTTATAAATACTAATGACCTTTAATTTCTCAAAGAAGTCTTTTTGAAAAGTTTTAATGAACATTGACACTATAACCAGCTGTGTTACCTGCTCAGACAGCTCAGCCTCTGAGAAACCTCAGGCCTTGCCCTTGTCACACCATCTTTTTCTATTCATTCGAGTCACATGTAGGCCACACCAGGTGAGCACATTCAGTGAATTCTCTTTCATATAAAGCACATCCTACAGGATTTCCCACAGCTCAGCAGGATATCTCTGATCATCTTGAGACAAGCTTGAAGTGTTGACTCGATGCACCTCCTCATCTTCAATGGTTACCTTTATTTTCACCACATGCTTATTCAGTCCTACAGTAGCTCAATTTAAAATGCATAATGCTGTCTTTGTTTAAAGAGTCTAACTTCAGATGGATATCTGCAAACTTCCAATTCATGCTAGTAATTTTGGTTGTCATCTTCGTGATGTTCTCTGTGTTTTGTAAACGTTATTGATCTTTCGGTGATTTATAGAATCTGATAGTAACTGGTGACATCCTGATAACTTAGCTCTTTAAGCAGTAACACACCAGGGATAGGATCAGCTGGAGTAGACTGGAATATGGAAACAAAATAATCGGAGCAGGAGTGGGCCATTCGGCCCTTCGAGCCTGACTCACCATTCAATATGATTATGACTGATCATCGAACTGAATACCCCGTTTCTGCTTTCACCCCCATACCCTTTGACCTCTTCAGGCCTAAAAACTCTGCATAACTTCTTGAAAACACTCAATGTTTTCACCTCAACCGCTTTCTGTGACAATGAATCCATAGGCTCACTCGTCTCTGGGTAAAGAAATCTCTTCTCATTTCAATCCTAAATAGCCTACCCAGTACCCTTAGACTTGGGTCCAGACTCCCCTGTCATTGGGAACATCCTTCCTGCAATTACTGAATCTAGTCCTGTTAGAATTCTGGTGAATGTAATTCTAACTCATCCAATCTCACTCAAATCCCTGTCTGTGTTCTTGAATCCCCACCCATGTTCTGGAATCCCTGCCTCATTCACACACCGAAGCCTGGAATTGAGAAAGGAAAGCTTGGATTTATGAAGAATTCTGATTTGCATTCCTCTTAAAACATTACATCGATTAAATACTTTGTTTCTCTGGCACCTTTCATTTCCTGTTTTGTGCTGTACATTTAATTCTGCATTTTGATAGCACATGGTGTGGTTTCAGAGCGCCAAACCTAGCACAGGCAGTGTCTGCTGCATTGGTTGCAGAGGTAGACTAAGTAAGTAGTAAGGAAGTAAGACTATTCACTGGCCTCTATTTTATGTCAGCTTTCCTCAGCCAGCTGTTTTTTTTTTAATTTTTATTTGTCTTTTCCAATTCCCTCCCAAACAGTCAGTCTCCATCCATCTCAGCTGTCAGTGACTAGCTTCTCATTGTCAAATTAATTACTTTACAATGTCACAATATTGAGTTGAAATGGAGCAGTCATTGAGAGCATGTTGGATGAGCTGCTAATCTGCAGAATTGCTGGTTAATGAAGAAAGAAAGATTTACAAATCATTGAATCACTCAGCATTGAGGAGACCATTTGGCCCATCAGGCTTTCGCTGGTTCGTTGATAGAATTTTCCAATTACTCCCACTCACCCACCTATCACCATAAATTGGGAAACTATCCAGATTTCAGGCAGCTCATTCTAGATTATAACTTGCTGTGGAAAACGTAAGTTCTTCTCAGCTCCCTCTCGGAATCTCCCAGCTCCCTCATCATCCCACTCCCTCCGAATTCCTCCCCCTCACTTAACGCTGTGAAAGCCAGAGTTAGATATCTGTGTACAATAGAAACAAAAATAAATAATTAGTTCCTTTGGGATATTTGCCTTTTGTCACAACCAATAACTGGAGCTATTTTTCTGGGCAGGTTTGATAGAGATGAAAATGACCAGGGAAACAGGATCTGTCTGTGTTGTGCGTCATGTTTCCAGGTAGGATCTCAAATACACAATCTGATTGGCTAGGCACTAACTTCCTTCCTGCTCTCCAGGAGCCAACGAGGGAGGGGAGGTATGAGGGTTGGGGTGGGTGTACCTAGGGCCTGAGGATCAGCTGCCTGAATCTTAAGAAATAGGGGACAGACTAGGCCATTCGGCCCCGCATGCCTCCCTGCTATTCACTATAATCCAAGGTGGAGATCTCTGTGTAGAGCACCACAGGCAGAGAGCTGGAATCTATCAGGTGGGAATACATAAAATTAACGTGGATTGATGAAAAGGAAATCACGTTTGACAAACCTGCGGGGCTTTTGTGAGGATGTAACTAGTAAAATAGATGAGGAGGAACCAGTGGATGTGGTGCATTTGGATTTTCAGAAAGCTTTTGATAAAGTGCCATCTTAGAAGTTATTGTGCAAAATCAAAGCATGTGGGATTGGTGGTAATATTCTGGCATGGATTGAGAATTGGTAAACATTCAGGAAACAGAAACCATCCAGGACAAAGCAGCCCGCTTGATTGGCACTACATCCACAAACATCCACTCCCTCTACTATGTTATGGAGGTGCTGGTGTTGGACTGGGGTGGAGAAGGTCAGAGATCAGACAACACCAGGTTATAGTCCAACAGGTTTATTTGAAATCACAAGCTTTTGGATGGTTGTCCCTTCGTCAGGTGAAGTGTCTTCATCTGACAAGGGGGCAACGTTCCAAAAGCTTGTAATTTCAAATAAACCTGTTGGACTATAACCTGGTGTTGTCTGATCTCTGACCTTGTCAATCTACTACCACCACCATTGATAAGACACACTGTAGAAATTCATCAAACAGTCAGCACCTTCCAAACTCACAACCACTTCCATCTAGAAGGCCAAGGGCAGCAGATACATGGGAACACCACCATCTTCAATGTCCCTTCCAATCCACCCACCATCCTGACTTGGAAATATATCAGCGTTCCTTCAATGTCATTGGATCAAAATCCTGTAATTCCCTCCCTAATGGCATTGTGGGTGAGCTTTACTCTGTATCTAATCATGTGCTGTACCTGCACTGAGTGTGTTTGATGGGGATGGCATTGAAGAAGTTATATTTCTAGTTTTACTTCAGGGCAGCACAGTGGCTCAGTGGTTAGCACTGCTACCTCACAGTGCCAAGCACCAAACACCCAGGTTTGATTCCACTCTCAGGCGAATGTGTGGGTTTGCACATTCTCCCCATGTCTGTATGGGTTTCCTCCAGGTGCTCCGCTTTCCTCCTGCACTTCAAAGACGTGCAGTTTAGGTGATTTGGCCATGATAAATTCAGGATTATAGGCAGAGGATGGGTCTAGGTGGGATGCACTTCAGAGGGTCAGTGTGGACTGGATGGGCCAAATAGCCTGCTTCCACACTGTAGGAATGCTATGTATGATAAAAGAGTAGAAGAAGCTTTACTGTGGATCTAATGTGTGCTGTTGCTGTCCTGGGAGTGTTTGATAGTGACAGTAAGGAGGGAGCTTTAATTTTAATTTAAGAGTAGAAAAAGCTTTACTTCAAGTTTAAAAGAATAGAGGGAGCTTTAATCTGTTTTAACTCTGTGCTATGCCTGTCCTAAGGATATTCACTCTGTATTTTTCCTGTTTCTGTCTAGGATTCTGATGAAGAAGATGAAGATTTCCATCGGTTTTATCCAGCGTCTGAATCAGTCACATAGTTTGAAGTTTTTATTATCCCCCTGTGTCAGTGAGATCATCCCTGGACTCTATGCTAATCTGTTTAAGAGTTTCTTTCTCTGAAGATGGTGTAGGGGATTACTTAACAGTCACAACTTTCACTAATATACAGGGTCCAGGTTTGGGAGCGTCTTATGTTGTTGCTCACTCCTTTCATGTCTTCTCATTATTCACACTCTAAGGGAGTGCTTAAAGTTCTTATTAATGACCTCAGCAATGTCATACTGAAGAGAAGTTAGTGTACTGGGATGGAAGGTCATCTTACTGAAACATTCACTCCATTTCTGCCTCCACAGATGTTGTCAAGCCTGTTGTGGATTTCCAGCATTTTCTGTTTTTATTCAGATTTCCAGTGTTTGCAGTATTTTGCTTCTGTGTTAGGAGCCTGTTATTGAGGGAAAAGGAACAGAATGAATCCAAACCTTCAGAAATCTATAGTCCAATCCCAACTGGACGATTGTGTGCAGTTCTGGGGCAGAAGTTGATGGGGCTCAGTGAGGGACCGGGAGATTCACGAGAAGGGGATGTCAATGAAGGAGTTTGGTTAAATTAGATTAAACTGGAGAAGCTGGGATTGTTCACCAAGAAGGGTGATTTATTAAAACTGTGAAATATCATTGAGGGGTTTCATCGAGTAAATTGTGAGAAACTGGTTCCGGGGACAAGGGGCCAGTAACTAGTTGGTGGTGGTGTGGGTGGGGGTGGGGGGGGGGGTGGGGGGCGCGGGGTGTGGATTTATTTGACAACACAATGACTTGTGATCTGGAACTCACCAACAGAAAAGGTGGTGGGAACTGATATAAAACTTTCATTTGAAAGTTATTATTCTAAATTCATAAAAAGGGAATTTGTGCAGGGCCAGGGGGCAAGGTTGGATACTAAATGAACAAGCACTTTCAAGGATCTGGCTCAAATATGATGGGCTGAATGGCCTCCTCCTATGACATGCCATTCTCTGATTCAAGGTGGAGCACTCACTCAGTACTGACCCACCAACACTCCCTCAGAGCTGACCCTCAGGCACTACCTCAGCACTGACCCTCCGACAGTGCGGCACTGCCTCAGCACTGACCCTCCGACAGTGCGGCGCTCCCTCAGCACTGACTCTCCGACAGTGCGGCGCTCCCTCAGCACTGACCCTCCGACAGTGCGGCGCTCCCTCAGCACTGACCCTCCGTCAGTGCGGCGCTCCCTCAGTACTGACAGAGTGCTACACTATTGGATGGTGTAGGTAATGATTCTGCTAGCCTAGTTGACACATTTTCTAAATCCATCATTTGTATTTACTTTTACTACATCTTTTACCTTGGTGATTTCCCAATGGTCATTTCGTCTCTTCAGCTCTGCATCCTGACCTTCCCTTTAGCTCTTTCCTCCTCTCCCTCTTTCTCTGACTGTAAACATATTTAAATCCTGTTTCTTCTTGATGTTTTCCTGTGCTGATGAAGGGACATCATTCCGAAACTTTTACCCTGTTTCTGCACATTGGATGCTGTCTGAACTGCTGAATATTTCCCAGTTTTTTTTTGTTTTTATTTCAGATTTCCTGTCTCTGCATTAATTGCTGTTCCATATTTGCCACCTAATGGCAGCTATGTGCAAATGACTGGATAGTTACAGGTTACAAACAAAATCATTTGGAAGACAAAGCTCCTAATGGATTTAGACACAACACAGACTTTGTCCAAATCTGTAATTATACTTGCGTAGAAAGTATGCAAAATTGGTCATCAGATTCTGTATCTCACTTCATGATCCTTCTCTCCCCTTCCCCTGACCCATCCTGCTTCCTTCCACTAACTCCCTTCCCTTCAGTTTCCTCAGCCCCCCTTCCATTCCCTCAGCTCCCCCTCCATTCCTTCTGACCTCCCCTAGGCAACCCAGTGTTAAGCTTCCTCCCTTCCTGGGGATTCTAGAGTTCATGATTCACTGAGAAACTGGGGACAAGTATTTGGGGCCAGGAGTTTGTCGCCTGGTGTGCAAGGCTGCATAGAGTCATAGAGTTGTGTGTGAGGACACACGTTCGTGGTGAAGTGTGGAAGGCTTGTGTGTGAGGACACACGTTCATGGCTGGATGTTTTGAGTGAGTGTTAGGTTTGGAAGGTTCCCCGAGTGCCTGCAGTGGTTAGTTTCTGTGGCTCCAAGCAGTTTCCTATTGACTTTCCAGTAAATTGAATGGACATTGAGTGAAGCCAGAAGCTGTGATACTGCCCATGCGAAATGTCCTGATAGTGTTTATTACTGTGGTGGCTTGAGCTTATAGTGGAGAATCCTGTGTGATTTGTGATTTCAAAGGAAATGCTTCTGTGAAAGTGATGTTTGATAAACCAAAAGCTGTATCACCCATACCCCCATCCCTTCACCATCACCTCCCTCCTTCTCTCCTTCTCGTGTCTTCATCCTTACTACTTTGTCTCCGTCATCAAATGGCCCCATTTCCCCTTCCTCTCTGGTTCCCTCTGCCCCTTTGCCCACATACTCCCTCTTCCATCTAACTCTATCAGTGAGGTTTCCATGGTTTGCTCATCCTGCCCTGAGACAATTCCGGAAGAAAGGATTAATCTCCACTTGGAGAGACAAGATTTGATCAGGTATAGTTGGCTGGCTTTGTCAGAGGGAGGTCATTCTTCATAAATTTAAATGTTAGGGAGGTGAGCAGCTGTGTAGGTGAGGATAGTGCTAGCAAACAGGTTGAAACTTTGTTTGCTGTTTATGTTAAAATATTTCAAAATTGTCTTAAAGAAAACTTGCAGCCTCATATGAATATGTTTTAGTGTCTAAACATCATGGCATCCAACAGTTAAAACTAATGATCTGTCAAGTCAGGTTTCTCTCTGGGATCTGACTATATAATTTACCATCAGCTAGGATTGTAACACTGTTTAATTCCTAGATGTGGGGCTTACTTAATGTGGAGCAGGAATGGGGCCCTCAGATGATCTAAAGAGGCTCACATTGCTCCTGGTGAAAGTAGTGAATTCCAGAACTGCCCATATTCCCATCAGCGTTCAACATGGAGCTTCCCTCCTCACTCTGAAATGCAGGATGTGAGGAGGTTAATACAGGATTGGTATTCAGACAAAATGCCAACAATAAGCTTCAACTCTGTGTGCGCAGGTATAAATGACAAAGGTTGTTCACAGAGACACTGTGCCCAGGAATGAAATGAGCAGCAACATCTCGAAGGAAGATGCTATATGGAAGATCCTGTCCACCTAGTTACTGATTTGGACCTGGCTCCCTGACGCTGCCCAATCAGATTGGAATCTGGCAGAGATACTGGGCCTGGCTGGAGCTTCTTGAAAGGAGAATGGCAGAATCTGGAAATACTGCAGAGTTTGGGAATTCTGCAGAATCTGTGAATCTGCACAATGTAGGAACCTGTGGAATCTGGGAATCAGCTACAGTTTCACTGCGTCTCTGGGAGAAAATGAATCTGTTGGCCTGGGGATGTTTTTCACTAAATCACTCAGTCCTTCTGTCTTGTTATTCATCTTCACTCAGGAACTATTTTAACTGTTCATTTGCTGAATTTTTGGGGAAGGACTAGTAATGAGCACAGTGTGTTTACAGGAATATGGGAGGGAGTTGCTATGTTATTCGAAGTTGATCGATTACCAACAACGAGGGGGAGCCAGAATCAAACATCTTGGCAGAATTCATCAGGCATTGAACCCTGTGTACCCCAGACTCCCTAGTGTGTAGCTCACTCTCTATCTGAATCATTGTTTTATAAGAAGAGTGCTGTACCAATTGTCCTGTCACGATTCCAGCTTCTCTCCAGGCCCAAGTCCTTATTTAATCCTTTCCTTTTAAATTAAATGTGTGAGTGGGAGTTTTCAGTGACAAATTGTTATATGGGGTGAGTTTGAAACAACCTTGCTAACTGATGAAAAGTCATTAGCCTAAAATGCTGTTTTCTCTCCATCAGTTCTCTCAGACTTGCTGAGTATTTGCAGCATTTTCTGTTCTGGGTTTGCAGGAGTATGCACAGAGTGCTCTGAATTCCTGTCTCCTGCATTGTCCGTGTGAGGGGGAGTCTCCCAGGCCGACAACAATCTCTCTGGCCTTGGCAGACCACAGAGACACAGCAACAAAGGTTGTCAATGGCAGCCGCAAAATTGGGAAAAGCACCAATCACAGAACATAGAGTGTAACCCTAACAACCATCTCCAAGTAAATCATTTTGCTTCTGTAAAGTTCTGTTCGTGGAATGACAGTGGCTGAAAACAAACAGTTGCTCCTGGTGTTGAATTGCATACAAAGCTGTTACATGTCACATTTCATGTTTCAGATTGTGTTTATCATTGGTCATCTCTCAAACCCATTCTGTCAAAGATAAGATTTGGTGGCGAAGACCCAGGTTCAAATCCTCCCTGCTTCAGTCATGACACATCTGATCAAGGAGATTTAATCATATCAAATAGTTGATCTACTTGAGCTTTGATATCTCCTGTTGTTTCTAAGTAATGGGGCAGACCTATTTCACTGATGTCTCTCAATATTTTTGTCAAGTGTCTGTTTGGATGTTTGGAATGGCTACAGCTGCCCTGTGATTCATCAAAACCCAGTTTATTTGTATTCATTCATGGGATGAAGATGTCGCTGGCTAGGCAGCATTTATTGCCCATCCCTAATTGCCTAGAGGGCGTTTGAGTCAACCACATTGCTGTGGGTCTGGAGTCACGTGTAGGCCAGACCAGGTAAGGATGGCAGTTTCCTTCCCTAAAGGACAGTAGTGAACCAGATGGGTTTTCCTCTGACAATCAGCAATGGATTCACAGTCATCATTAGACTCTTAATTCCAGATTTTTTTTATTGAACTCAAATTCCACCACCTGCTGTGGCAGGATTCAAACCCAGGTCTCCAGAACATTACCTGGATTAACAATCCAGCAATAATACCAGTAGGCCATAGAATGCCTATAGTGTGGAAGCAAGCTATTTGGCCCATTGAGTCACACCAGCCCTCCAAAGAGCATCTCACCCAGTGCCACACCCCCTACCCTATCCCTGTAACCCTGCATTTCCCATAGCTAATCCACCTAGCCTGCACATCCTTGGACTATGGGAGGAAACTGAAGCACTCAGAGGAACACAGTCGCCCAAGGGTGGAATTAAACCTGGCCACTTGGTGCTATGAGGCAGCAGTGCTAACCCACTGAGCAACCATCATCTCCCTAGTGTCCATTTTGAAGCTGCCCTGTGATTGGTTACTGGGTATTGGAGGGTGGAATGTGAGGCACCAAATAGATCTTTGAAAAGTTACATTGTGTCTGCTGCTAAATTGTCACATCACAAACATTTCTTTACAAACTGTGAATATTGTGAGGTAAAAGTCCCTCCATTCCATCATATGTGTGGCACTTTCACAGTGTTAAATGGGACAGACTTTGAACAGATCTAGGAACTCAAGACTGGGCATCCATGAGATGCCATGGGCCATCATCATCAGTACAATCTGTAACCTCATGGCCTGGCATATCCCCCACTTACGCATTACCATCAAGCCAGGGGATGAATGTTCATTGGAGAGTGCCAGGAGCAGCACCAGGCATACCTGAAGATGAGGTGTCAACCTGGTGAAGCTACCAAACAGGACTACTTGCACGCCAAA